TCACCAGAAGTTTGTGTTGGTCTCTGAAATTTAATTATTGTGAATCATTACTTGCTTTGTTTATCCATTTTAATATGTCTTTCAGCATCATCTCTTATTTTGTCTCCATTCACTTTCTTTCTTGATCGTCAGGATTATTTATCCACCTGCCCGTGATACCTCCTCAAGTCTTGGTATAACTTCACCACCACACACTCACCACCACACACTCACCACCACACCTCACACCACCTCACCACCACACACTCAAACTCACCACCACACACTCCACCACCACCACACACTCACCACCACACACTCCCACTCACCACCACACACTCACCACCACACACTCACACCACACACTCACACCACCTCACCACCACACATCACACCACCTCACCACCACACACTCAAACTCACCACCACACACTCACACTCACCACCACACACTCAAACTCACCACCACACACTCACACTCACCACCACACACTCACACTCACCACCACACACTCACACTCACCACCACACACTCACACTCACCACCACACACTCACACTCACCACCACACACTCACACTCACCACCACACACTCACCACCACACACACCACCTCACCACCACACTCACACCACCTCACCACCACACACTCCACACTCACCACACACACTCACACTCACCACCACACACTCACACTCACCACCACACACTCCCACTCACCACCACACACTCACACCACACACTCAAGCTCACCACCAACACTCAAACTCACCACCACACACTCAAACTCACCACCACACACTCACACTCACCACCACCACACTCACACTCACCACCACACACTCCCACTCACCACCACACACTCACCACCACACACTCACACCACCTCACCACCACACACTCAAGCTCACCACCACACACTCAAACTCACCACCACACACTCAAACTCACCACCACACACTACACTCACCACCACACACTCACACTCACCACCACACACTCCCACTCACCACCACACACTCACCACCACACACTCACACTCACCACCACACACTCACACTCACCACCACACACTCACACTCACCACCACACACACACTCACCATCACACACACTTACCACCACACATACCCATTCACCACCATACTCTCACACTCATCACCACACCCTCACACCACCACACACACTCACCACCACACCCTCACTACACACTCACCACCACACCCTCACCACACCCTCACCACTCACCACACCCTCACACTCACCACACACTCCCCAAACCACACCCTCATACTCACCACCACACCCTCACACTCACCACACACACTCACCACACCCTCACACTCACCACACACTCACCACCACACCCTCATACCCCACCACACTCACCACCAACACCCTCACACTCACCACACACACCACCACACCCTCACCCCTCACCACCACATACACCACCACACCCTCACACTCACCACCACACACACACCACCACAACTCTCACACTCACCACCACACTCACCACTACACCCTCACACTCACCACCACACCACCACACACACCACCACACCCTCACCACCACACACACACCACCACACCCTCACACCCCACCACACTCACAACCACACCCTCACACTCACCACCACACACACTCACCACCACACACACTCACCACCACACACACTCACCACCACACACACTCACCACCACACACACTCACCACCACACACTCACACCACACACTCACCACCACACCCTCATACTCACCACGACACCCTCACACTCACCACCACACCCCTCACACTCACCACCACACCACCACACACACAGCACCACACTCTCACACTCACCACCACACCCTGACACTCACCACCACACACACCACCACACCCTCACCACACACACCCCACCCCCACCCTCACACTCACCACCACACCCACCACAACAACCACCCACCCTCACACTCACCACCCACCACCACACACACACCACCAAAACCCCTCACACTCACCACCACACCACCACACACACACCACCACACCCTCACACTCACCACCAACACCACCACACACACACCACCACACCCTCACACTCACCACCACACCACCACACACACACCACCGCACCCTCACACTCACCACCACACCACACACACACACACCAAACCACACCCTCACACTCACCACCACAGCTGCACATGTTTCATTCCTCAAACTAAGAGCTGCTACCTAAATCACCTCATATAAAAGCATTTCCTATTCTTATAACTGCAATATTCAAACTGTCTTATTGATTTTAAGTGTTATAGTAATTTATACATTAATTCTGCGCCTCTTCTTAGATCCCGCAGTGTATCTGGAACCTTGCTAACAATGTTCCATCTTGTATATCAGTTTTGTTTTCATATCTATGATGCCCGAGGTTACTGGCTCACTTTCCGCTGATTAGGAAAGGGTTTGAGGTTATGTGAGCTCTGGTGAGTGAAGTTATGAGGGATTCCTTAACCCAGAGATGCTTGGAGAATTAAAGACGGATGTGGAGTTTGTATGTGGTGAGAGTGGATTGAGTTATTTTCTCATGGGAGTGGAAGGGAGACTTCAGGGAGAGTGCTGATGGGAGGGAGCGCAGTGGGTGCACTAGTAAAAGGGATTTCTGAGAACGGAGTTTCTGTTTCTACTATCTTATATGTTTATCTTAACTGCATCCGCCATCTTTTTATCTTAAGTCTTAATCAAGGTTTCCTAAATCTTACTTTTTTGTTTACACTTTTAGATGTGTCAGTTTTCTGTCGTGTGCTACTTAAGACTCTCAGTACAATTGGAGGAAACAAGCCATACCACGGGTGGGGTTTGAACCCGCAGTCAGAGATTTTTTTCCAGATCCTCGGAAACTTTTTCATCTGCATTCTTCCCTTCAGTTTCCTCTGTCATTTTTTTCCATTCTTTTATGCTACGAAAATATCTGAGTGTCGTAGATCATCAGTTATCTCTATGTACTCTCCCTTAATGTTTTTTCCACCTGGTTCCCTCGTGTTGTGTTTCATGTTTCTAGTTATCTGTAGTGTCTGGTCGTGTGGATGTAATGGGGATAGCGAGGGTAGTCAAAGATGACAAGCATAGATTGTTTAGTAACAGATGTGTACTATATTGGGATAAGTTGGAATGAGCATAACAGCCTGGTTGATCAGGCCCTGATCCACCATGAGGCCTGGTCAGAGACCGGGCCGTGGAGGTGTTGCCCACCGAAAACCTCTACAAGTATACGCATTCATAAATTTCCAGCCAATCTGTTTAATATTTAGCCTTTTATTGTACACGTTTCCTTAGTTATTCTTAATATATATTAGGAAAGACTATTTAAAGCACTTACTACACTTCATAATTATTACCATTCGTTTAAATACAATTCCCATTTTTTGGAAAAAGTCATAACAATGCCATTTAAAAATAAAATATTGAAAATCTCTACATATTAATATATGAAAAATAATCGTGAAGAAAAATATACCTTTCATGAAACCGTATTTTGCAGTTCTGTTTAGTTTTTAATTACGTTTGGTATTTACATGCTTTCGTTCATACACTGTAACTGATCGCTTCTCGGTTCTCTGAGGTTAGTGGTCAGGAGAGGTCGTACCTGTTCTGAAGTGTTTCGGTGGATTAGTGTGGAGTGTTATAGTGCACCATGGCTGCTTCTGTTTTGTCTTAGAGTTTAAGGTGTTGAAGGGGAGTTCAAAGTGTTGAAGGAATTTCTACTTCTCAGGGAAAATAAACTGAAAATTCGTCTGGATAAGTAATGAGTGTGAGGTGGTTGTGGTTAGTTAGGGGGAATAAGTTACCAGCAGTGAGTAGTAGACTGGCAGCGGTTAAGTGGGTAGATGATTCCAGTTAATTAAGAAACATCAAGGTTAGGAAGGTTAAGAGTCGATTAGAAGGTTGGAAATTGATTCTCTGTTGTCCAGGACGAATGTATTTGAATGGTCAGTGAAGATAAAGGTACCACTAATTCCTCTGGTAATAAAGGTAGAAATATCTTTGTGGTATAACAGAGATAGGAAGAAGTGACAGATGGTGTGTTTCACGTTCGTGATGTAGTCAGTACGTTGGATAATATGTCAGGTAATCGGAACAGGCCTAATAACTGCCTTAGTGGTGGTGGAAACAATACTGTAAAGGGTAGGATACAGGAGCCACTAGATAAGTACAGGACAGCTGTAGGTATAATTAGGTTTAAGGAATGGGTACCGATTATATGTAGTATTTTACCTAGAAAAGGAGTAGTCAATGAATGGATGTCAAGAGAAAATGATGTAAACTGCTGGTTAGACAGGTACTTCAGAGAACTTGCAATCCATTCCCTACAACTGGGACAATTTGTATGGCAAACATGATATGTATGCAAGGGATGAGGTACATCTCTCTGGGGGAGGAGTGGTAACGTTAGTCGAGGGGGCCGTTGCAGAGTTCTCAACAACTTTAAACTGATAGTAGAGTTATGGATTTGTGTGGGAAAGAATAAGTTACACGAGGGATGGAAACGAAAAAAAGATGACTGGAAACCTTCGGGATATGTTCAAAGGATACTGTTCATCATAAAGTTACTAATAAATGCAATAGAACTGTTCAACAGACACAGTAGAGGGCAACGAGCGACTAGCTACCTATGGTTTATTATACTAATACAAGGAGCGTAAGAAATAAAATTAACATAAGTAGGAAGGAGCACTGCCGCAGACCTGCTGGCCTACGGCAGTGCTCCTTCTTACTTTTGTTTTCTTATCTTAACTCACCTTTACAACCAAACTAAAAATAGACATTTTTTTCAAAAAAAAAAAAACCATATTTTCCCTTAACCTCTTGATGAACACCCAAGATATTCTTCCCGGCATTTTAGATTTAATTTAGTTTAGTTCGGATGTTCACGGTGATGTTGATAACCCACAGTGTGACCAAAAAAAAAAATGTACATTTCGACTTCCTACCGAGATCGTCTTCAACTAAGTTTCTTGCTCTTCCTACAGGATGGCCTCAAGAGGAGGATGGCGCAGCTGAAGGACTCCATCGAGGAGACAAACAACGCTGTTGACAAGGAACGAGAGAAAAATGTGTCTCTTCTCCACCTCATCTTCCCACCGGACATTGCCAAGAGACTCTGGCTAGGTGAGCACGTCGACTTGGACGGCACTTTGGGTGTTGTCCTGGGTGAGGGCCCTCAGAGACTGGGCAAGGATGTTGTCCTGGGTGAGGGCCCTCAGAGACTGGGCAAGGATTGTACATCACAAGATTACAATTTGGAACCGAGGTTAACTGAAAGCCTTGAAAGACTATAATTTCACCTTGGCAATGAGGTTAGGTGAGGGTTTTGAGAGACTATAATTTCACCTTGGCAATGAGGTTAGGTGAGGGTTTTGAGACACTATAATTTCACCTTGGCAATGAGGTTAGGTGAGGGTTTTGAGACACTATAATTTCACCATGGCAATGAGGTTAGGTGAGGGTTTTGAGACACTATAATTTCGCCTTGGCAATGAGGTTAAGTGAGGGTTTTGAGACACTATAATTTCACCTTGGCAATGAGGTTAGGTGAGGGTTTTGAGACACTATAATTTCACCTTGGCAATGAGGTTAGGTGAGGGTTTTGAGACACTATAATTTCACCTTGGCAATGAGGTTAGGTGAGGACCTTGAAAGACTATAATTTCACCTTGGCAATGAGGTTAGGTGAGGGTTTTGAGACACTATAATTTCACCATGGCAATGAGGTTAGGTGAGGGTTTTGAGAGACTATAATTTCACCATGGCAATGAGGTTAGGTGAGGGTTTTGAGACACTATAATTTCACCTTGGCAATGAGGTTAGGTGAGGACCTTGAGAGACTATAATTTCACCTTGAGCCTGGTATTAGATGAGGGCCTTGAGAGACTACTTATAATTGCACCTTGGGTTCTCACTAGGTGACCGCTTGAGAGGCTAGCTTCAATAGCACCTTTGGTGTCATGTAAGATTAGCTATGGTAAATGGCTATGTGAGCAAAACGAGTCTATTCCTAGGTGAGCACCTCGGATCACTAGCTGATTCTGGCTAGTTGAGCATATCCACATTTTAACGAGGTGATCTCTGACTAGCCGAGCTCGCTGGAACTCTAACTAGGTGATCTCTCTGGAACTTGTGACTAGCTAAGCACTCGGAATTTTGAACTAGATGAGCACATTGAGATTTATTCTAGATGACTACCTCTGGTAACAAGCTAGGTAAGAATCTATGCTCGCTAGTTACTGGGCACCAGCTAGGTAAGAATCTATGCTAGCTAGTTACTGGGCACCAGCTAGGTAAGAATCTATGCTCGCTAGTTATTAGGCACCAGCTATGTAAGAATCTATGCTCGCTAGTTACTGGGCACCAGCTATGTGAGAATCTATGCTCGCTAGTTATTGGGCACCAGCTATGTGAGAATCTATGCTCGCTAGTTACTAGACACCAGTTATGTAAGAATTTATGCTCGCTAGTTACTAGGCACTAGCTATGTAAGAATCTATGCTCGCTAGTTACTAGGCACCAGTTATGTAAGAATCTATGCTCGCTAGTTACTAGGCACCAGTTATGTTAGAATCTATGCTCGCTAGTTACTAGGCACCAGCTATGTAAGAATCTATGCTCGCTAGTTACTAGGCACCAGCTATGTAAGAATCTATGCTCGCTAGTTACTGGGCACCAGTTATGTAAGAATCTATGCTCGCTAGTTACTAGACACCAGCTATGTGAGAATCTATGCTCGCTAGTTACTAGGCACCAGCTATGTAAGAATCTATGCTCGCTAGTTACTAGGCACCAGCTATGTAAGAATCTATGCTCGCTAGTTACTGGGCACCAGTTATGTAAGAATCTATGCTCGCTAGTTACTGGACACCAGCTATGTAAGAATCTATGCTCGCTAGTTACTGGCCACCAGCTATGTGAGAATCTATGCTAGCTAGTTATTGGGCACCAGCTATGTAAGAGTCTATGCTCGCTAGTTACTGGACACCAGCTATGTAAGAATCTATGCTCGCTAGTTACTAGGCACCAGTTATGTAAGAATCTATGCTCGCTAGTTACTAGGCACCAGTTATGTAAGAATTTATGCTCGCTAGTTACTAGGCACTAGCTATGTAAGAATCTATGCTCGCTAGTTACTAGGCACCAGTTATGTAAGAATCTATGCTCGCTAGTTACTAGGCACCAGTTATGTTAGAATCTATGCTCGCTAGTTACTAGGCACCAGTTAAGTAAGAATCTATGCTCGCTAGTTACTTGGCACCAGCTATGTGAGAATCTATGCTCTCTAGTTACTGGGCACCAGCTATGTGAGAATCTATGCTCGCTAGTTACTGGACACCAGTTATGTAAGAATCTATGCTCGCTAGTTACTGGGCACCAGCTATGTGTGAATCTATGCTCGCTAGTCACTGGGCACCAGTTATGTAAGAATCTATGCTCGCTAGTTACTAGGCACCAGTTATGTAAGAATCTATGCTCGCTAGTTACTGGGCACCAGCTATGTGTGAATCTATGCTCGCTAGTTACTGGGCACCAGTTATGTAAGAATCTATGCTCGCTAGTCACTGGGCACCAGTTATGTAAGAATCTATGCTCGCTAGTTACTAGGCACCAGTTATGTAAGAATCTATGCTCGCTAGTTACTGGGCACCAGCTATGTAAGAATCTATGCTCGCTAGTTACTGGGCACCAGCTATGTAAGAATCTATGCTCGCTAGTTACTGGGCACCAGCTATGTAAGAATCTATGCTCGCTCGGTAATGGAGCATCAGATCTGCCCTGTGTAAAAAAAATTAAGACTTTTATATGATAATGTCTTCGCAAAGTGGAAAAAACTCGTACACATTATCCTCTGAACCATGATAATATATTACCAACAAAAGAATGACTAAAATGCCTTTCAGCGGGAGGTGCGTCGATGCCTGTGACGGAGACCTGATCCATTACATTCAGTTCGTGAACTGATCATTATCTCCCATTCTCCAGGCGCTGTTTGACCCCTTCGAGTATAGCGCTTCCCCATGAATGTAACAATTGTGTGTCTAATGTAACGTAATGTACCGAATGATTAGTAATCTTATCTAACGATTACCTTTTGTTAATGGAAAAAGATAATGTTAAATTACATTGTAAACACAAAACTGATAATGGAAAATAATATTTAATAGTGAAGATGATTTTGATGGATGGAATAACAGACAACAAGAAAATTTAAAGAATTGAGGAGAAATAGAGAAAATAAGACTCAGGAATAGGGACAAATGTAGATTATACGCAAGAGGAAGACAGGAAGAAAAAAGTCAGGAGAAAGTTGGATGAAGAACGAAGACAGGAGGAAGAAGGAAAGAATTCATTCAAAAGGGGAGAGATGGATAAAGAATTAAAACAGGAAGACGAGGGGACGAAAATATTAGGAATAGAGTGAGAGAAAGAAATGAGACAGGATGCAGAGAAAACGATTATTATCAGGAGGAGAAAGAGGAATAAAGAACTGAAATACACGGGACAAGAGAAGAATGAAGTCACATGGAGAGAGGGATAATAAATTTAGAAAGACAATATACAATAACAGAGAAAATGGGATGAGATAGGAGGAGGAGGAGAAGCTGAAGAAATCAAAGCTAGGAGGAGACAAAGGAATAGAGAGGAAGGGAACATAAGAACATATAATTGAAACTGGAGGATGGAGAGGGGGAAAAATGAAGCTAGGAAGAAAAGAACATAGAATCGAAACAAGAACAGAGAGAAATAGGAGACTGAAAGAGAATCATTACATACATTCATGAAAAAGCTTCAAACCTATACTATATAATCTTACTGGTTTAGCGCTTCCCATGATTATAGTAATTTAAACCCACAAGTCATAACCTGGGCAATGTGTAGCTTCAGTTTCATGGATCAAGAGCTCTTCACCAGCGTCAAGACACGTAAACCACGGTATTAAGATTTCCTGAGTCAAAGCAGGTGTTGGTAACAAGGTTTGAGGAAGTGAGCATCAGGGAACATCTCAACACTGTGACATCTGAGGGATAGAGAATGATTAATTTCCTGTACCCAGATCTGTGTTTAAGGGAATACAGAGATGAGAGAGAGAGAGAGAGAAGAGAGAGAGAGAGAGAGAGAGAGAGAGAGAGAGAGAAAACTCCAACATCATCCTGTTCCCTATTTGTAAGTCTCATAACAATAAAAAGACTTAGCTTGTAAATAAAGTTGGGAACCTTTAACCTAATCTTGTAAAATCCTTTGAAGAGAGAGAGAGAGAGAGAGATGAGATGAGAGAGAGAGAGAGAGAGAGAGAGAGAGAGAGAGAGAGGGAGAGAGAGAGAGAGGAGAGAGAGCGAATATACCATACCAGGGCAAGAGCGAGAGAAGTGAGAGCAAACCTAATGAGAGCAAAAGAGCGCGCAACAATAGCAATAAGAGAGTGAGAGCGAGAGTGACAGAGGGAGTGAGGTAAAAATCGTAATACTAACCCCTGGTGGTGGTGTCATATACGCAGGGGAAGTTCTTGAGGCGCAGAAACACGACGAAGTGACTATGCTCTTCAGTGACATAGTGGGTTTCACTTCTATCTGCTCGACAGCCACGCCATTAATGGTCATCAATATGCTACAGAACCTCTACAACGCAGTTGACGCCTTCTGTGGTCAGCTCGACGTGTTACAAGGTGAGATCGAAGCCTCGTGTGTGTGTGTGTGTGTGTGTGTGTGTGTGTGTGTTGTGTGTGTGTGTGTGTGTGTGTTTGTGTGTGTTGTGTGTGTTGTGTGTGTGGTCTGTCTGTGTCTGTCTCTGTGTCTGTGTGTCTGTCTGTCTGTCTGTCTGTCTGTCTGTCTGTCTGTCTGTCTGTCTCTGTGTATGTTTATACTTGACCTATACTTTCCTCTTTTCCTTCTGATTAGCTAATCATCTCATTCGTTGGCTTGTCTTCCAGTTTCCTTTTTCAGTACACTTCGGGAATGATCTAATCTCTTCAAGGTTCACAATGATTTTTTTTCCTCCCTGCACAGACTTGTTAGTTCTTTCTAAATGTTTGTATCCACAAATGAATGAATTTGAGAAGTGTTTGGTCTCTTGTACCCAGAGGTTTCTTGTATTCTGTTCTAATTATATCAGCTGCACTAGTAAATATGTACTAGAGCCGGCCTTGCTGGCTCATCTTTGCTTCTCTCTCTCTCTCTTTCTCTCTCTCTCTTTCTCTCTCTCTCTTCTTCTCCCACTCTTTCTCTTCTCATTCTCTCTCTCTCTTTCTCTACTCTCTCTTCTCTCTCTCTCTCTCTCTCTCTCTCTCTCTCTCTCGTGTGTCTTTGATATATTGATTCAAAGTTCCCATCACAACCTCCATCATCTTAGCTCTCCACTTCTCGCTTCCTCATTAGGGTCCCAAATCTCCTAGGCTACTAGTTGCTTTGTTTATATAACCTTGTTAATCTGCTTCTGCTATGTTGTGAATCTTTGTTATTGCGTTCTCCTGCTGTCTTTATCGCCTACTATTTGGTGGTGGGTTGTATATCTCTGCTACCCGACTGTGTCTGCTATATTGTGCCCAGTATAGTTATTTAACTCATTTCTGTTTCACTCTCACCTTTCCAAAATACGACTGGTTTCTGAGTATCAATAAATTCCTTCAAATACCAGATTTATTAAGCAAATTTCCAAAATTTGCTTAATAAATTGTAACAGATAAGTGAACTGTAGATATAAATCCAGACATAAACCCTTTTGGGGCCTAATTACTAGACCTCTCGTGTATCCATATATTCTTGCGCTACCATCCACAGGATGGACATGGGGTGCACTATGAAGTAGCCACTTCGGTGACAGTCTGAAGGTAATCTCTTTCGTTTTCCCCACGTCTCCTTTCTTTCTCGTTCCTTGATATTCTCTTGGCAGAGAACATGTATGATCATCTCTGTTTTCTTTGTGTTGACATTATTTATAGTTGCCTTTTCTTGTTCTTTCAATTCATGGAGTGTTGTATGGTAATCTATCTACATTGGTGCCATCTTTGATTATTATTATTAATCAAGGGAGAAGCGCTAAACCGGTGGATTATACAGCGCCTGAGGGGGGGATGTGGAAGGCATTCAGGCTTAATCGGGGAACTGGAGCACAGATTCAATTCCCTAAATCAAGAGCCCCTCACCAACATCAAGGAACCTTCCTTGAGGGGGCCATCTTTTGAGTTTTATGCTCTGACTCGTGATGTTAAAGCACAGTGTTTCACTGCTCGTGTGAAAAGAGGGAGAAGAGTGAGGTTGTGCTTGACGTGGGCATTGCTAAGGACGAGGGGTCAGGTTTATAGTTGGAGATGGAGGGGAGATGCCGGGTGGGATGCGAGTTGTCTTGTGAGAGATGGAGAGGAAGCGCAGATTTTAGCGGATTTCTTGAGGGTGAGACTGCTCTTGTCACTAAATCCGCCTCTGTCTCTTTTGTAACTGCTGATTTTTTTCTTCCTCGTCCCCCACATATTCCCTTTCCATTTCCGGACTATCTGGATCCAGGGATACATAGAGACATCTTGTATCTCCAAAGAATGTTTTTGTCACAAGATCAAATTTTGAATTTCTTGTGGCCAGAAAGTTTAATCAGGCATAATACGCAGAGCGCAAATAATGCCTGATTAAACTTTGATTCTTATGAAAATTTTCAGAATGAATTAATTCCTGGTCTATTTGTACACTCAGTGGATTGATATACTCGTTTTGTTTCCCCTTTTATCTCATTCGTGATCTACTATCTACTTCTAAGTCAGTAGAGACTTTGTGGTTCTCTCTCTCTCTCTCTCTCTCTCACACACACATTTCTTCTTCTCCACCAGACTGCCTTGTCTCTTGTCATCAGTTTCCTTGCTGACTATTTATCACCTGTGCCTCCTGGTGTCCTGAGAGCATCTCCGCTATTGATTCTTTCGTTCTCTGAATTTTTTTGTTCTGTATTCGAACCCGTTCTACTTTTCCCCACATTTTTACATATTCTCCTTCAGTATTTTTAATTCCATTGAGGTATAACTTAGCCATAATTGTCCTTTCTCTGTTCAAAGTAATCATCATATTTTTTAGATTTCAGAGAGTATTCAACTCTCTTAAATATAATTCTTTTACACTGCATTACATTTTTATTTCCATATTTATGTAATTCAACCCACCTTCTCTTTCCACTTCACGTTATTATTCTTTTAGTTTACAATTTTTCCTTTCCTCTAGGATCAACACAAGTAAATGTAAATGTTTACCTGTGATTTAAGGTAATTTAGATGATGCACAGACAATACCAGTTGGTTTGTGGTATTGTACCTAGATAGATAAAAGGAGAGAGAAAGAGGAGAGAGGGAGACGGAGAATGAGTGTGTGACTGTGTGTGTGTACACACCTAGTTATACTCAGTTGTGGTTGCAAGGGTCAATTCACAGCTCCTGGCCCCGCCTCTTCACTGGTCGCTACTAGGTCACTCTTTCTGCTCCATGAGTTTTATCATACCTCTTCTTAAAGCTATGTTAGGATCCTGCCTCCACTACATCACTTTTCAGACTATTCCACTTCCTGACAACTCTGTGACTGAAGAAATACTTCCTAACATCCCTGTGATTCATCTGAGTCTTCAACTTCCACCTGTGACCCCTTCTTGTTGTGTCCCATCTCTTGAACATCCTGTCTCTGTCCACCATGTCAATTCCTCGCAGTATTTTATATGTCGTTATCATGTATTCCCTAATCCTCCTGTCCTCCAGCTTCGTGAGACCGATTTTCCTTAACCTTTCTTCATAGGACATTCTCCTTAGCTCTGGGACTAGTCTTGTTGCAAACCCTTACACTTTCTCTAATTTCTTGAAGTGCTTGACCAGGTGTGGGTTCCAAACTGGTGATGTATACTCCAATATGGGCCTGATGTACACGGTGTACAGAGTTTTGAACGATTCCTTACTTAGGCATAGGGACGCTATTCATAGGTATGCCAGGCGCCCATATGATGCAGCAGTTATCTGGCTGATGTGCACCTCAGGAAATGTGCTCCGTATTATACTCATCCCAAGATCCTTTTCCTTGAATGAGGTTTGCAGTACTCGGTCTGCTGTCTTCTTTGCCCTTCCCAATCTTCCTGACTTTGCACTTGGTGGGGTTAAACTCCGGGAGTCATTTCGGGGTCCTGGTCCGTACAGATCCCTTTGTAGTCTTACCTAATCCTAATCCGATTGAATTCTCCTCATTAGCTTCACATCGTTTGCAAACAGGGACACTTCTGAATCTATCCCTTCCGTCATGTGAATGTCATTCACATATACTAGAAACAACACTGGTCCTAGGACTGACCCCTTTGGAACCGCGATCGTCACAGGCGCCCACTCTGACAACGCGTCACGTACCATCACTCGTTGTTGCCTTCCTGTCAGGTATTCTCTGATCTATTTCAGTGCCTTTCCTGTTATGCCTGCCTGATTCCCTAGCCTTTTCATTAATCTCTTGTGTGGAACTGTGTCGAAATCCTTCTTACATTCCAAGAAAATGCAATCTACCCACCCCTCTATCTCTCTCTCTCGCGTCTTACTTCAGTCACCTCCTCGTAAAACTCCAGTAGCTTTGTGACACAGGATTTTTCTTCCCCGAAACTCTGTTGGTTGTCGTGTATAAGCTTATTACTTCCTAGGTGCTCCACCAGTCTTCTTCTGATAATTATCTCTATGACTTTGTGTGGCATGCAAAGAGTACATAACCTTTATTCGGCGCATGTACACACCCTCATTTACAGCATATCTCCCCCAACCAGCGAACCAGGTTGCTAAGAATTGATGATGGGGCCCCGTCGTTCAACTAGTGACCAGGTCCTAGCCAATAAGAAGATGGTTTTGGCAATCGCAGAGGTTATGTGGGTACCACTCTCCTGTCTGCCCTTGTCATTCCCATTCTAGAGCTGGTTGAAGCACGGTCTGCTATCTTGTGGCTTCTATTTCTGCCTTGCTTACCGTGGAGTGCACTATACGTATCACTGTACATAGTGTACACATTGCTGTTCTAAATTGGTGAAGGATATTGTAAGTCTTAACTTTTTCTGCTGTGTTTATTTTGCTCCCATTACACCCGGGATAACAGGCCATTTGGATTCCTGGGTTGTAATAAGAACATAAGAACGAAGGAACACTGCAGAAGGCCTACTGGCCCATGCGAGGCAGGTCCAAGTCTCCTACCGGCTTAAGCCAATGCACCCAACCTAGTCAGGTCAGGTCACATTGACTTAAGGGAGGAACACGGCAACCGACCTGGTAGCACAAGCTATCAGGTCCAACTCACACCCACCCACATCCACTCATGTATTTATCCAACCTATTTTTAAAGCTACACAACGTTCTGGCCTCTTAAACTGTACTTGGGAGTTTGTTCCACTCATCCACAACTCTATTACCAAACCAGTACTTTCCTATATCCTTCCTGAATCTGAATTTTTCCAACTTAAAACCATTGCTGCGAGTCCTGTCTAGGCTAGATATTTTCAGCACACTATTTACATCCCCTTTATTTATTCCTGTCTTCCATTTATACACCTCAGTCATATCCCCCCTAATTCTACGTCTTTCTAGAGTGCAGATTCAGGGCCCTTAGTCTATCCTCATAGGGAAGGTTTCTGATACATGGGATCAACTTTTGTCATCCTCCTTTGTACATTTTTCCAGAGAATTTATATCCATTCTGTAATACGGTGACCAAAACTGTGCAGCATAATCTAAATGAGGCCTAACCAAGGATGTATAGAGTTGAAGAACAACCTGAGGACTCCTATTATTTATGCTTCTTGATATGAAGCCAAGGATTCTATTAGCTTTATTGCGAACACTTATGCACTGTTGTCTTGGTTTCAGATTACTGCTAACCAGAACTCCTAAATCTTTTTCGCAATCCGTAATATTAAGATCTACATTATTTAGTTTATATGTGGCATGGTTATTGTCCTGTCCAACATTTAGAACTTTGCATTTGTCTATATTAAACTGCATCTGCCACTTCTCCGACCACTGCATCAGTCTATTCAAATCTTCCTGGAGTGCTCCAATGTCCTCGTCAGAATGAATTCGACGGCCTATTTTGGTGTCATCGGCAAACTTGCCGATGTCGCTCTTTATGCCTCATCTATGTCGTTTATGTAGATTGTGAACAGCAGGGGGCCCAAGACTGACCCCTGTGGAATACCGCTCGTGACGCTTCCCCACTCTGATTTCTCCCCATTTATGCAAACTCTATGCTGCCTATTTGTCAACCATGCCTCTATCCAGGAAAAAATTTCTCCTATTCCATGTGCTTTAATTTTCCTCAATAGTCTCTGATGTGGGACCCTGTCAAAAGCCTTACTGAAGTCCATATACACAATATCATATTCATTACCATGATCTACCTCCTCAAATACCTTAGTGAAAAAAGTTAATAAATTCGTAAGGCAGGAACGCCCCTTTGTAAAACCATGCTGAGATTCGTTGATTAATTTATGCTTTTCAAGGTGGCTACGAACTGCCTCGGCAATTATTGATTCCATAAATTTTCCCACTATGGAGGTTAGGGTTATTGGTCTATAGTTCGAAGCTAAGGACCTGTCACCTGTTTTGGAGCTGGACTTAGAGAAACGGTTGAGCTTAGTGAAGCTCGTAGCAGGAACATTGGGCAGCTTGCGGTCTGGCATTGCATTAGCTTTGCCTACGCTTTACAAATTTTGCGTGTCAGTTACTGTTATGGTCAGGCTTGCTATTGTGTGATCGTTCAACAGCTCGCTACTAGCTTGTTCGGTGTGCTCGCTTCGTTACGGTCAATCTTCTAGAACAGTGTAGCTGTCTGGCATTGCTTTACAAATTTTGTGTGTCAGTTGTTACTAGCCTGTTCGGTGTGGAGAATTTTGCAGTCAGCTTTGCTTGTATGCGTATTCTGCAAACATACTCACTCAGAATTAAATATATTGCCGGCAAAGAAAATGTGTTGGCGGACTCTTTATCTAGAGTCTAATATTTTTATTTATTTAGGTTAGGATGTTATTTGTGGTAACCCCTTTTCACGCTCTTTTTTTTTTTTATCCCCTGGTGTGGGGTTTTTTTTAGTGAGGGGATGCGGGCTACCGTCCGCCTGTATCTTGGACTTATGCTAGCCTGTCTGACTGCTGTCTCACTTTAAGTTTAGTATTTGGCTTTTGGTCACGAGAAAAGCTGAGCTCTAAGAGTTGGATGGTGGAGAGGAAAGGCGGTCCCATTATTTTGTGCCATGACGACACTGGGAGGTGGCAGCCTAATCCTGAACCTTCTCGGGGTGGGGGTGTGGCATGCAAAGAGCACGTAATCTTTATTCGGTGCATGTACACACCCTCATTTACAGGCTATCTCCCCCAACCAGCGAACCAGGTTGCTAAGAGTTGATGATGGGGCCCCGTCGTTCAACCAGTGACCAGGTTCTAGCCAATAAGAAGATGGTTTTGGCAATCGCAGAGGTTATGTGGGTACCACTCTCCTGTCTGCTCTTGTCATTCCCATTCTAGAGCTGGTTGAAGCACGGTCTGCTAACTTGTGGCTTCTATTTCTGCCTTGCTTACCGTGGAGTGCACTATACTTATCACTGTACATAGTGTACATATTGCTGTTCTAAATTGGTGAAGGATAATATAAGTCTTAACTTTTTCTGCTGTGTTTATTTTGCTCCCATTACACCCGGGATAACAGGTCATTTGGAATCCTGGGTTGTAATACTTTGCATCCTACTCGTATACATGTCAGTGACACTGGTCTGTAGTTTAATGCTGCGTGTCTGTCTCCTTTCTTAAAAATTGGGACTACATTTGTCGTCTTCACCTCAAGTAGTGTGTACTCACCTATTTGTACTCACCTATTTGTGGTTACAGGAGTCGAGTCATAGCTTCTGGCCCCGCCTCTTCACCGGTTGCTACTGGGTCCCCTCTCTCCCTGCTCCATGAGCTTTGTCAAACCAAGTCTTAAAACTATGTATGGTTCCCGCCTCCACTACGTCACTTTCTAGGCTGTTCCACTGCCTGACAACTCTATGACTGAAGAAATACTTCCTATCATCCCTTTGACTCATCTGAGTGTGTGTGTGTGTGTGTGTGCACTCCCCTATAAATTCACCTTTGTGGTTGCAGGGGTAGAGTCGCAGCTCCTGGCCCAGCCTCTTCGTTGATTGCTACTTGATCCACTTTCTCCCTATTCCAAAACTCTTGTCGTACTTCTCCCTGAAGCTA